TAGTCAATTAGTAAAAATTATTTCCAATGGTTGGTAAGACAGTGACTGGAGGACATCAGTTTAAGATAGTTGGCAAATGGTATGTGAGATATGCCCAAATCAATGTCTCCACTTACGCTCTCAATTCCAGATCTATTGATGTTCTGTCTGCTAGCTGTCAGATGTCAGTGTCTTCTCCTGCAATGAGTGCTGCAAAGGAGAGATTTGTTGCTTCTTCCTTGCTCTTGTCAAAGCCTGAATTAACCAAACTCTCCAGCATCTAAACCCGGACAAGAATGGAAGCCATCCTCCTCGACTCCAGCCGAAGTCCCCTCGCGTCTGTCTCTGACTCCTCATTGTCATTGTCGCCTTTCCTGGGTGGGAGCATACGTGGAGACCCATTTCCTAACACATTTCACTCTGATTTTTTTTTAATTTCAGCCAAGGAGCCATTTTTGGCTTCATGTTGTGTTGAATCATGTGGAGTCCTATAACTTAGTTGCTAGAGCACTCGCCTCGCAAGTGAGAGGACCTGGGTTTGATTTCCGGGTAGGATGAAACATTAGGCAAGTTTCCTTACTCCACGCGCCTCTATTTACCTAGCAGTAAGTAGGAACCCAGTTGTTAGTCAATTGCTGGATCGCTTTTCCGGGAGTAATAATCGCTTGGAAAAAAAATAATTTGGTCGCTCAATCCATGACTGTTTTCACCTACAAAATGTACAGCAATTCGCTTTGCAGTATATTCTGTGAAGAGGTTTGAGACATTTCAAGGACATGATAAGACGTTATATGAAATGCAACGGTTCTTCTTTTTCTTATTATCTTCTTCCCCCCCCTGTCCGCGCATACCTCACATTCCAAAGGAACCGGCAACTTCGCCCAACTGGTCTTTCTTCACGACTTGAACCTTGACATATCCTGGCAGTGTCGGATACATAGGCAGACAAAGACCTGATCTAACATGATCATTGCCATGTGTTATGGTGCAAGAGCCTGTGATTCAAGCATGGATAGTTTGTGGCTTATCTCTGGTATTTTGTGTATTCTAACTGATAACATGTGTATTTGTTAGAGGCCAAGAATGTTCTATTCAGTCAGCTGGTAAATCTGTTTGAGATTTTACATCTAATAATTGAGACAGTAATGAACATCTAAATATATTAAGGTGAGATGATCAAACAACTCCAATAAATTTGTAGCAAGAGTGACTTATCCCAACTCTACAGTGCAAATATTGCATTATTCTAGCACTGCAGTTCTAATATTCTGTGTAATTTCCAACATGACTGTGCTATATTATGCTGTAATAACAACAATAGTAATAATAATCATCTTTGGATTTGATACAGTGCCTTCTCACTGCATCAAGGCATCTAAAATACTTCATAGTAGTTACTGTGAGGTGTAGTAACTGTACTTGTAGGTGAATGCAGCAGCCAATTTGCACACAACAATGTCATACAAACAGCCATGAAGTGAGTGACCAGTTTTATTTAAGGGATTGTTACCCAAGACACCGGGCGAAACTCCCTTCTCTCTTTGAGTAGTGCCATAGGATCTTAAAATTCATCTGAACAGGCAAACGGGATCTCAGTTTAACGTCTTATCCAAAGGACGGCATCTCCAACAATGCAGTGGATCCCCTGCCCTGAATAGGGGATCAGCCAAAACTGTGAGCTCAAAATCCCAAAGTAGGGCTTGAACCCGCAACCTCTGTCTCCGGATCGACAGTGCTACCAACTGAGCCAAGGTGCCACCTACAAGAGTAGATGAGTGGATCAGCTAAAACATGCACCTTCTTTGTCTTGTGTACCTTACTAAGAGTTCTGCAGTTGACTGGTTTGATCAATGTGTGTAAATTTTGATTCTAGTTGGGTGAGGCTGTGGCAACATTTTTCTAATGTTCTGCTTTATCTTGTCTCTTGCATGACTGAAATGAGCTGCACTGCTTGTGGTTCTTAATAATAATTATCCTTCCATTTGGTATAGCGAGTTTCACGTTGGGAGGACATATCAAAGAACTTCACAGCTTTCCTTCTTCTGGTGGAATCAAATTTTTGTGCTGGGAGAAGGGGAGTTAGCTCAGTGCGTGTGTGTCTGTGTTGCGTGTGCATGTCTCTGTGACCTGTGTGTCTGTGTTGTGTGTGTGCTTGTGTTTTCCTCGCTACATAAAGTTGGAAGGGAGCAGATGTGAGGACCTTTTGGCTGCCACTATTGCAAAACAAAATATCATTTTACCGTTAAATACAATCATAAAAAGAAACCTTGTTTTTTTTTATTCCAATGACTGGCTAAAGGTTTCCCCGAAACATCTGTATTTCAGTAAAATCTGATTGAAAATCATCTTCTTTGTCGGGAATTAAGAATGGATACTGTTGAAAGCCCGCAGCGATGGTGAGAAATATCACATAGAGCTCAAATCTGCCTTGTTGCATGTGGCTGAGGCCATTCCTGTAGACTGATGTCAGGAAGACATGGACTGCTCTGTTATCTGTGCTTGTTTTGAATTATGTTCACTGAAAAATAAAAGGCTCTAATTTAACTGTTCACTGTCATCTCTTCACCTTACAGACCAACGTAAATTTTTGTACCACTTGCACAATAACAATTGTATTCTTGATCAGTGATATAAATTTAAGCGCTCCGCGAACTTACCTTGCGTGAAGGGCGCTATATAAATGCTTGTTGTTGTTGTTGTAGGGCAGGGGGAGCCCTGATGGTGTAGTGGAGAGAGCTACAGCTTAGGAACTAAGAACTGATTCTTTCGAAACCCGGTCTGTGCTGAGTTTGCGGCAAAAGTCTCTGCGAGGCTAATTTGGCCCTTTCTTTCCGAGTGTGCGAGTATGTGACAGTCGGGTGGGAAGAGGTCAGGCTCGGCTGTAACACCCTCTGCATTTGAATGTCCTGAGCAGCCAAGGTTAATGCATATGACCCTTGGCCACTTGAGTGGGTTACTAGAGGGTAACCAGCGCTTGTGAGTTTAAAAAAAAATGGAATCTAGTTAGTTCCAATGCAGTCAACTAAATTGGATGAGGAGGCTGGGGACCAATGTTGTTCATTTTAGAAAGAGCAGGCTTACAAAAGGCCCTTAACCGAAAATAGAATCCAACTCTGGATTCCAAACACCATACAGTTCAGGAATCTATCCCGAAATGTAACGACAGTGTGCTTTTATAAAGCGCAGCATGTAACGCAGAGTTTGACACTGAGCTGGGAAGAAAGGGGAGGTGACTGTAGGCACGGTCGAAAAGGAAGAACTGCATTCTTCAAATATATAATCTAACATTGTTTCTTGGGGTGTGTTTCACCCTCAAAACACGCAGTTGATCCACTTTACACTATATCCTGAGAAGCGCTTTGAGACGTCTCAATGACATGATGAGGCGCTAGATCAAACGTAAAGATTATTAGCATTATTATTATGTACGCTTTTGTTCTTCTGTTCAAGTAATTTATCTGCGACTCTGTGTTTATGGGAAACCTTTTCAGAGTACTTCATTCCACTTTGTTGAGTGCTAAAGTTTCTAAAAGACAGTTGAGGAATGCAGTCAGTATATTCTGTGAAGCGCTTTGAGACATAAGGCGTTATATCAAATACAACGATTGGCATTACATTATTATTTCGTTCTGTGTGGCCACAGAACCCGATGTGCTTACCAGAGGGGAAGATATCTGCCGTCTTAGGTGTCTTGTGTAGCCTCTTGTGTTTGGGCAAACAGGACAAACGGGATTGTGATAGTTAGAACTAGCCTGAGGTAAAAAGGCTGACGTAGGCTGATCTCTTTGTGGTGGGAAAAAAAGAATAAGGTGGGACTGAACTGGGTCATGTTATCCTAACTGTATTGTCACTGGTATGCTTTACACAAAGGGTGGCATCACGTGGAGCAGTTTGCCTGGGGAGGCAGATAGTGCAGGCAGTTTGGAGAAGGAATTGGATATGATAATGGCTGTAACACTATAACGATGATGGGGGCTGGGTGTGGTGTGTGGGTGGTCAGGGTCTCAGAGGGTGGCTTTCCTGACCATTGCAAGTCATTAAAAACCTTTTAAAATATCAACTTGTGTTAAGAAGCAGATTCATGGTGTCCGGGTTAATCTGGAAATGTCTCTCAAGGGAACTGGGGTTGTTGGGGGGGGAGAGAAAGACTGGTCCAAAAAATGAGGCTTGTGGAAACTGTAAATATCTCAAACTCCAGACTTGGTTGGATTGAAGTGAGGGGAGCAGAGTTCAGTTGAAGTCGGATGTTTAGACAGTACATTGCCTTCTTCATCGGAACCTCTCTTGTCTTGTGATTTGTATGTAGTTCAAGCCATTTGTGTCAATCACTGGGGCGTATGGATTCAATCAAATTACTGTACGTGATCCTTTGAATGGATTGTCTCTGAAATTTGTAACTGTGTATTGCTTGCTCCTCAATAATTCCCTGGCACTTTGGTTTTGATCGGAGTCGTTTGTCTTGTTTATATAAAAAAAATTGACTCTGAAGAGAAAGGGTGGGATGAAGTCTACAATAAAAGAGAATAGCCAAAGGAAGTGCGAGTTGGAATCCTGCACTCTCTTTACCTTCTCGCTGAAATTGTGCACTGCGGGTAATGTAATTGCACGAGAGCTCAGGTGCTATTGTGTCAAAAGGGAGACGTGTCAATGTGCTTTGCCGGGCGTAATATCCAAACCAATCTGTACGTTTCTGGAGACGTGAACTTTTGGATTCCGGACAGTGTTCTCAGGGAAAAAGTCAACCCTCGGATACCATGAGAGATCAAGCAGTTGACACTGGCACAGTTTGGTTGGAGTTGAAAGGTCATTTGTGTATTGCTGACACTTGTGACCTCTTCATATTTGTCTTGCATGATGGCTGATGTCTTCCCCCCCCATCCACCCACACACATACACAGTGCAATGTGGGCCTTCACTGGACACCAGCCCACTTTGCTCGTAAAGCCTTTACTATTTTCTTTTAACCATGGATTCACGATCTTGTTTCCGATTTCATTTCTTTTTGTTTGGTTTCTGTCCAGCTGGAAGATTGTGCGCTGCAGATGGCTCCCAGTGGCAACTACCTGGATCTGGAACTATCGCTGGACGAGCAGAGAGATGACCTCGAAGGCTTCTTTGAGGAGATTGGGTAAGAAAAGTCCAGTTTATAAAGCCTAAAAGTCAAGCCTCCAGACTCTTCTCATAGCCTTGTGGCTAAAGGCTTGACAGTGGTGTAGCCCTGGGCTATGCAGGTCAGGAGATGTCAGCTGGAGGCTCAGATGGAGTTGGCTGATCTGAGCCAACAGTTCGAACCCTATTATAACTCAGTGGTTTGATTCCATAAACAGAACTAGTTTGGGAAAGGGGATGGGGGGGAGATGGTGTTATAGGATTTCAAAATGGCAGCCGGTAAGTGCTTCTATTCGGTCACTGCTGACATCACTTCCACAGGAAGTTGATTAGTCAATGCCGGAAATGGAGTGAACTTCCAATATAGGTGCAGGTCCACACTGTCCCCTGTTATAAACTGACCTGTGCTGAACTGGGCCACTTGGTGTCAGTTACCCTGTATAATTGATTTTGGTGCCATCGTGTCCCTCTATCCAGTAATCCCCCCCAACCCCCGCTGCTGTCGGGGAGAGTGTGGATGAGGTTGGGTGAGCTGCCTCATATTATTGTTTATGGTTAACAGACTTTCAGACCCTCATTGTCTGGACTTACACAGGGGCAAGATAGTGGAGATCAGCCTTCATCTATGGAACTGGATTTAAGCAGGAAATACCCTCTTGAGGAACAGAGACAGGGAACAAATAGACAAAGCAAAGGGAGATATGTCCAGTTTGCCTTTGACTATGGCATTGACTATTACCAATAACTGGATCTAACACCAGAGTTCTCAATTTTGCTTGTCAATTGGTCTTGACTTCCTTCACTAACTGCCGATATCTTATTGAGTGTGATTTTGCCACTTCCTACTTTTTGTGCATAATTCAACGTGAATTATTTAAGTTGGATGGGATGCGTTTCCGTGTGTGCAGGAGTAGTTAGGTTAATCTGTGACTGTACTCCCTGTGTTCTGAAGCCACACTGCAGTGCACAATAAATCTGGTGACGTGAGCTTCGCTGGCAGGCAAAATAAGCAGTGAAATGTGATTCGTACGAGTTGCTAACATGTAAAAAGACCCGGGTGCAGTGGAATGCAAAGGCTTGGATGCCTCCCAAATAGACCAAAGGAAAGCTTGAGTATGATTGCTTTGCACAACACAATACCAGCCCACTCGCTTTCCTCCCCCGTGCTCTCCTGGCAAACTCATCAATGTGAATCTGCATTCAAACATCATATAGTTGGGTTGTGCCCTGCCTGTACATTAGCAAACAGTTTCAGAAGCTCCAGGAACAGAACTTGGGAGGCGTCTCAATGTGGGTTTCCCACACAGATACACACAACAACAATTTGGGTTTATATAGCACCCTTCACCCTGGGTAGCGTCCTGGAGCGTTTGATACGCACAGACACACGCTGAGCTAAGTCCCTTACTTCCAGCATGAAAGTCCCTTCCACCAGAAGGAGCAAGGCTGTAAAGCGCTTTGATACATCCTCCCGATATGCAAGGCGCTACACTAAACGTAAGGCTAATTATTATTGAGAACCACTTCGCAGGAGCAATACTTTGCAGGCTCATGCTAGTCATGGGAGAGTTTCAAAGGTCCAAGAGTTTGAAGTGCAAGTGAACCGTGGAGGCAGATATGTGACATAATGCTTTATGAATGAGGTACAGTACGTCACTCTGCTGTATCTTTATGGTTTCTTGACATTTGCACAGAGTCGCCTCTTATCGCCTTTCAGAGCTACACTGTGCATATGTCGGCAGAGAGTTCTGTTTACACACGGATTGAGCAATTACATTAATAATGCAGCAAAAAACTCTTTTGTAAGAAAAGTTGTTGCCAAATTGGATTTCCTGGGAACTTTGGAAACTTACAGTGATAAGTAGACAGATTGGCCCTTAGCTGCAGATTAATGGTTGAGAAGTTGATCACGTCACTAAGTTACACGGGACAATGACTTTGATGTGCTGTAATGTCTCTCACGTTGGTAACATGATTATTTTCTTGTGCGAGATGCTGTCCTTTAGGTGAGACGTTAAACTGAGGTCCTGTCCATCTCTGTGGACAAAAAGATCCCATGGCAAAAAAAAGAGAAGGGAGTTTCTCCTTGGTCATCGACTCTCATGTGCATCAATTATTATATGTAAATTGGCTGCTGGGTTTGCCTGCAATATTCATAGTCACTGCACTTTACAGTAAATCCTGCAAAGCTCTTTGAGTTGTTTCAGCGATGTGATTGAACTCTATATCAAATGCAGGGGTTATTCTTGTTGGCATTTAATTCTGACTTGTGGTCTAAACCTAGTTAAACAAATTCCTTATATTTGATATTGAGCCTTTTACATTAACTGGACTTCTCAAAGGGCTTCGCAGGATTTTTTCCGTAAAGTGTAGTGACTGTATTTTGGACAAACATGGCAGTGAATTGGCGTGCAGCAATGACTCACAACCAATCACGAAGTGAATGATCAATTTTGGACTGGAGGATTGTTGGGCAGGACACTGGGAGAGATAAGCTCCCTTTCCTTATCGGATAGCGACGTGGGATCTTTATTAACGTCCACCTGAACAGGCAGACGGGACCTCGGTTTAAACATTTCATTTGAAGTCCGACCGCTCTGACAATGCTTGATGTACTGAAGAATACACCTCGAATCCAGTGGGAATCAATCTGTGCTGACATCAAGTATCAGTGGGTGAGGCATTCTGGCTTGCAGCCACACACTGACCACAATCTGGTCAGCTGAAACGACTGGTAAACTGCTTTTTAAACAAAAAGCCAACTGGTTGCCAAGTTACATAAATAAATTGCTAAAAGCTAGCGTGCTGATTATGAATGGCTTGGAGCTTGCATGGCAACCTTTAGTTCTCTCTTCGTGTTGATTCCCACCCTAACCGTAAACACCAGAGGAATCCCGCTGTGTACTGCATGAGATGTAAATAGAGGCGCAGTGGAGGACACAGACTCATTTGCTGAGTGGCCTTGGATCACAAAGCCTGAGTCTGTTGTTTCCCCAGCTCCACCATTCAAAAGATCCAGCTCATTCAGAACTCTGCCACCCACATAGTGACTCAGACCCAACTGCGTACCCACACCAGTTCTGGCCAGGCTCCACTGGCTCCCCATCGTCGAACTGATCGATCCTCACACTCGTGTTCAAAATCCCTTCTTCACTCTCTGGCAGCTCCCTACCTCTCCGGCCTCCTCACTCCTCAATCCACCACCCGGTGCCTCCGCTCAACTAGCACCCCCTCCTGCTCGTCCCCAGCACCCTCCGCCCCACCATTGGAGGTCAGCCACTACGCCCCGAACACTGGAATACTCTCCCTCAATCCCTCCGTCTTGCTCTTTCTCTCCCTTTTTTCAAGTCCTGCCTGAAAACCTTCCTCTTTGATCGTGCTAACAGCCACCGCCACACCGGGTTGGAGCTGTTACCCTGTGTGGAAGGTGCTATATTAGTGCTTGTTGTTGTTGCTTCCGGTCAGCATTCTTAATTCTCCCTAATCTGTTTTATGTAAGTGCTTTTGAGGCATTTATCACACATGAAAAGTGCTATCAAAATGCCAGTTGTTTTTGAGTCTGTGGCCTATTTGACTGCAGCGAGTATAACAACCAACAACATCTTGCATTTATATAGTGGTGTTCACGCAGGATAACATCTCGGGGCACTTAAACCAAGTCTGCTCCTGAGCTCTCCCAGGGGTTCTTACCCCTCCCACCCCTCACGCACACACGCCTCTTCAGCTGATTTACCTGCAGAGCAAAGAGGGGCCAGGGGCATGGACTGTGGCTTCCACTCACAGTCTCAGAACACTAATACTAATCAGGGAGCCTAACCTAAATGGTGCATTCAATAGATTCAAAACCCTAACTCTCAGCACACTCATGACTTCACCACACAAGTTGTTACATGAAGCCACTTTGGCTGGTAGTCTGTCCACTATGGAAATCTGCTGTAGCTTCTGCACTAAGCAACCAGCATATCAGGAATTCTATTTACACCACATAATTTGCTGTGGGAAGTGAAAAATAAATAGTATTGGAAATGGCTGAGATAAAGGAGGATTAGATAGAGATGCCAACAATAACAGATGACTCATGCTAGATGCTTGGAGCCCATGGTTGCTTTGACCATTTAGTTACCCTAAAGCCTAACCTACATTTATGAAATGAAGGCAAATGGTACTTTTGATGGCATTTTGCACATTAAACATTTGTAATTGAAATTCATCTGTGTGCAACTCATCTGTTCCTTGACCACAGCAACGTATGTGATTATATACATTAGAAAATATACCAGAGATGAGAAATTGCATTGAGACCTTCCATACAGAGAGGATCCTGAGCCTTTGGTTGGGTGTGGGTGGTTTGGTGGGGGGGCAGCTGAATTAAAAACAAAAATATATAACTGGTGCTCACTTTTACATCCCTGGATATTTGTTTAGGTAGATTTATACCCTCTTCCCTATCAGCAGCTTTCTATAAAATCCCTTCTCCTATGGCTCTTGCTTTCTCACATCACCTAACTTGTGTTAAAGAAGGTGCTTTGGTCAGTGCCCTTCAAACTTCCCCTCCTTTCCTCCCTGCTCGGGGTGGGGGTCCCAGTGATTTCCCCCCCCATAAGTTTTCAGATGTTCCTCCTACATGAAAGGCCTTGTGTGAGTGCACATTGTCTATGCAGAGCCCTCCTCGGAGAGAGTGCCTGGGGAGTGAGAAATGTAAATCCAGTGGAATGCAGCAGACTGTGAAATCGCTGCTCTGATGTAAAAGGTGATCTTCAACGACCACCAGTGCTTAGATACACATTGGATCTGCTTCGAGGTAATTCCTTTTGATCCGTGTCACACCGGTGGCATCTTCTGCTGCCGTTACAATACAGCTTGAAAGCAGCTTTACAGCAGTGCCCTGCACGCTCCACATTAAACTGTTTTTATAGCTCACAATAACTTGAGGTTGATCTGCAGCTAAGTACTTTTCTCTGGATTTGGCTTATTTAATATGTCTTTTTTTTAAAAAAGAATAACTAGCATTGCCCTCTGTTAGATGAATCACTGTTTACTGGCTTCGATCTGCCTGATTTTTTTTATTTAATGAGGAACGTGTGGCTTTCCACAGTTGCTGGGGAGCAAATATTGCGAAATGCGACCCTCAAAGAATCAAAACTGACTTTTGAGTTCAATTGAGTGCTTGTTGGTCAATGGTTTGTTACTCACTTTTTGCCAGGAAAAGTCCACCCCAAGCAAAATGTTCAAGCGCAAAATTTGGCTGCCGCACTCCTACAAAAATACATTCCCTACACTCGACGGTGAAATCCTGTAAAGCGCTTTGAGACGTTTTGATGGCGTGTTTCAGCGCAATATCAAATGCTCAGATTATCAATGGATAAAAGTTACTGGGAAATATCTTATTTATATATTACAAGGCTTCTGAGGGACATGCATTGCTGTTTATCTCTGCATGTGGTTGAATGTTGCTCTTGATTTTAATTTATCATTTAACTTAGTTGCTAACAATCAGAACGGGGTCCAGATGACAGAACAGAGATCTACGGCTCAGTGCATTTCCCTGAACAGTAAAGAAAATGTAATTCTGGCCTGAAAATGAACTTACGAAATGAATAGTGACTCTATTTTCTATAAAATTTTATGTTGTTAGCCTTTTGCTCAACACTTTAGTGCCTCGTTGTGTCTGTCACTGCCAAGACATGTGGGCAACTGACTAATGCGAAGCAGATCATTCAACGAATGGAGTTGAATCTGGACTGTCATAGTCACACTTGGATCAAAACCCGGATTATCTGAATGCAAGGCAGCAAGGCTGGTTTGCTGTGTACAGTATTTATTCCAGAATTAGACGCAGGTACGGTGGTACCTTAGAACTGCATTAAGTTGCTCTGCGTTAACCAATTTAAAAGCAAGTTTAGGAGGAACTTCTTCACGCAGAGGGTGGTGCGAATGTGGGGCTCGGTTGGCTGGAGCTGTGGTTGAAGCAGAAAGCATCAATGTATTTAAGAGAAGGGAATGGTGGGGTGTGAGGGGAGGTCTCGGAGGGGGGTTAGGATGGATGGAGACTCGTGTAGAATGTAAACCGTGGAATGGATTAACTGGGGCGAATGGTTCAGTGATGTAGATTCTGTGTAACTGGATTGTTTAAGGTTCGAGAGAACCTGCACTCGCTTTGAGCCAACCACACAGTCTGAGGGGCTTTCTGTAAGGGCGCTGGGTGGTTTAAAGTCCAGGTTGCTTCCCAAGTGCTGGCAGTCCAAGGAGGAAAAAATGATTTCATGACTCTGGTTCAGGCTGGAATCGCATCAGACTGGCTTCAACTCCGTCTTCACTAAACTCTGAGTCTAACCACCATGCATTTTAATGGAAAGTAAACGCATGATGCAATGTGTAAAAAAAATGAAGTGCCAGCACCTCATTAGTTGAGTTTGTGTGTAAACTTAGAGCAATGTTTTCAAACTGGCGTGTGTTAGGCTCCACAACCCCCTGTAATTACTGTACGGTTGTTAAGAAAAGATTGCTGCGGATGGCTGTGGCAGTGGAATCAAAATGCCAGTGCTTGAAAGTACATAAAGTTGCATTCGGCACAGAAACAGACCATTTGGTCCACTTAGTCCATGCTGGTGTTTGTATTCCACACTAGTCCCCACCCCTACCTTTATTCCTCTCCCATATTCCTCTGGTCCTATCTGGACAAACAGCAGGAAAGCTTGCTATCAATTGCAAAATATGCAGTTGTAGCTGGTTAGACACCAGCAGTTACCCCAACGCACACTCTGGGTTTCTCAAGCCTTGGCTCTTGCCAACCTGAATCTAATACTAACTGGTTTCACACTATCAAGGTGCTTTATGTATTGTTGTGTGTCAGGGGAAAGGGGGATGTTGGTGAGAGCTAGCTTCTGATTTACTAATGAATAAATTCTTTCTCATTCAGCAAAGGGAGAAGGCCAACTCTCATCCTCCGGACGCAGCTCTCTGTAAGAGTCCATTCCATTATTGGTAAGTGAAATGTTCATTGCGGAGCTTGTAAAACTTCGTTGAGGGTTTTAGTGATGCAGAGAATGGGGGTAAGCCATTCAGCCCATCAAGTCACCTAATACTCCATTGGCCCCCTTAAGCTAATGTATCACAGTCCTTCAAATGAGATGTTAAACCGAGGTCCTGTCTGCCTGTTTAAGTGGACATTTAAAGATCCCATTCTTCTATTCGAAGAAAGAAGGGAGTTTCTCTCGGTGTCCTGGCCAACAGATAAAATTGATCATTCACTTTCACTTCATAGCCGTTTGTCTGACATAGCGGTGTGCAAATTGACTGCTCCTGTTGCCTACAAATAGATGATCAATGCACTTGACAATAAATCCTGTAAAGCACTGTGAAATGTGCTCTCGAGGGGCTCATAGGTGCTATATCAAATGTAAGTATAAACTAGTGGCAGCTCTTTCTTTCCAATCTCATTTCCCTGCTCCATAATCTTTAGCACCCTCACTCCCCAAGTATTAATGTGCCTTTTAAAACAACCCAGTTCATTCTCCATCTTTGATCCCCTACATCCCACACTCATGTAATTGTTTGATAGAGCCTACTATCTGAATGACTGAGAACAATGGGCCATTAGAAACGGCGAAGGGAGAGGACAAAAATAGCCCTGATCAGTCGGATGCCAAGTTAGTTGACCTGCAGCTACAGGGAAGAACCGACCTTTGTATAAATATTATGTTGCATTGTGTTAAAGTAATCATTCAATTGAGTTATTTCTGTCCTGATGACTGCTCAGCATCTGGTCCTAATTCATACTGGCAGCAAGATGCTCCTGAGATCTTGTTGAAGTGCCAAGAACAGGGACAATGTTAAGGGTATCAAGGGATATGGAACAAAGTGGGTAAATGGAGTTGAGGTACAAATAATAATAATAATTCTTGCATTTGATATAGCGCCTTATCACTTCTTTGAGAAGTTTCAAAGCACTTCACAGAAAAGACTGTAAAGTGAATTGACTGTATATTTTGTGGGCAAAACAGACTTGAGGGGCTGAATGTCCGACTCCTGTTCCTATGTTATTAAGACTTATTATAATCTTGGTAATATTTTGTATGGAACATGCCAGGAGGGAATCTGAAAGAGGCGAAAGTGTGCGAGTTGACTTGTTCACACCCAGGGGTGATAGTTGACCTGTCCAAATAATGGGAGAGCCAATAAAGAAGGCACACAGGATGCTGGGCTACATAACCAAGTGAGTTAACCTTCAGATTCCCAGAGGTCATTGTCAGGTTGTATTGTGCTCTAGTAAGGTCACACCTGGAGCATTATATACAGTTCTGGCCGCCATTAAGTAATGGGGGGGTTGGAGGGTTCTGGATACCTAGTGGCAGTGTTAAGAAGTTGCTCCATGAGGAATGGGTTAACCAACTGGGGTTCTAAATATACCTCAACATAGGGGATCTCAACAAGGTATGTAAGAGGCAATGACAAAGTAGACCAAGTGCAATACAGACTCAAAGGAAACTCTGATCCATCAAGGCAGCAAGGCAAGAGAGTGAAGGGCAATTTGAGAACAGACACCAAGAAGCATTTCCTTACACAGAAGCCAAGCGACTTATTTGAAGAAAGGCGGTGGAGGCCAGCCATTAAAGACGTTTTAAAAGGCCTCGATGTTGAAATGGGGAAGATGGTTACTGTGGCGGGTTTCCTTTTTCATCAGTATCTCATGTGACTTTGTGTTCGTTCTCAGTGATTCTGTTTTTCCATTTGCTGAGATTAGCTCCCCACGGCCCTGGCTTGTATTTCTTCGCATCTGCGAAGCTTTGCTGTGTTCATGACTCTGCTGCCTTTCCCTGGTGGCCAGAGATGTAACCCATTCCCAAGAGCCCAATTCAGCGCTGTATCCAGTTTATTACTGGAAGCTGTAAAAGCAAGTATTAAAGTTAATGTTTAACGTTCAGCAAGTGAAGATATTATTGGAGCCAAGGCCTTTTAAACTGGGCAGTAATTTCAGCTCCGAAATCTGCAACCGAGGACTTTGTAGAATGTCTATTTAACCACGCCCTCAGCATGTGTACCCCTCACAATATAAAGTACAGCTGGTTTCCGAAAAAAAATCTCCAAATAACAATCCATGTTGAGCGGAGATTTTCCTTCGTTCAGTCCACTTACGCTGCAGTTCTCTTAAGATGAAGAGATGTTAAATTGTGCAGAGGAAAAGTGCTCTGATGTAAGGCATTGGCTGCTTCACCTCCACACGCTGGAAAAGGGGGAACTAATCAAGTGAACGACCAGTTTTGGTTGTGGGGTGTGTTGAGGGGGGGCGGGGGGGTGGATTGTTTGCCAGGAAACTGGGAGAATGTATTTGTGGACATAGTTTCCAATTTCCACTTCAACAAATCCCTCCTGTACTTTAAAAAGTGCACATAAAATATCCCCCAATGTAAATGTTAAAACAATGCCACTGATCGCAACTCAATTTGGAACTTTGTGTTTTTATAGTTATAAAAAAAGGGGCTGTTTGAGGCTTTTGAAGACTATGTGAGAAGTTAACTCCTTGCTATTGGACACTGTGGTCTGAATGACCACCTTCTGTGCTCTAAATTTCTATCTCTACAGCAGCAACAACAACAACTTGTATTTATACAACAGCCCTCACAGAGGATAGCGTCCCCGAGGGCTTGACAGTGGTGGAGCACGACTCCGAGCCGGGGGGAGGGGGAGGTGACCGTGGGCACGGTCGAATAGGAAGGTCTTCAGGCGCGACCTGAAAATAGGGAAGGAAGGGTCAAGGCGGAGGGATAGAGGAAGAGTTTGGATTGGATGCTACAGGTTGGATGCTCGATTGGCAGCTTCCTAATTGCTGCATACATTATGGTTTGGGAGAGTGAGAAGGGGGGAGTGGAAGGGAGAGGATTTTGTAAATAAATGCACAACACATTGTGGCATGAAAGAACAGCTAACTGAAAATATGCTCGTGGGATAGTAGCTATTTTTGTTTGCTGACCATTGCAGTTTAAAAATACCAGACTTTCATTGCCAGCATCTCTATAGGAGGGCTCTTTGCTTTGCTGTTTCTCAAGTGTCCTGGAGTGAAGTGTCAGCTGTGGCCTTGTCTGACTGAAACGCTGGATTTTGCAGAGATGCATTTACAGTGTAGTAAGAGGCTATTCAGCCCATTGTGCCACTGATACTTGCATTACTGACCTCATTCTTTTTACTTTGTATTGTTTCTCCCATTTTCCAGTGTATTCCCTTTCTCCTCTTCTCCCAGCCACTTGTGACAATGAATTCCAAACCCCAATAAGACTCAGTGAGGATGTTCCTTCTAACCTCTTTTTCTCCCCCTCCCAATTTTTCTTCAAACAAAATCGAGCCAAAGCCATTCATTCCTCAACTAAACATGACCTCTGCCATATTGCCTCCATTTCCCCCTCTCAACTTCCTCTGCTCCCTCACCTCAACTTCCTTGGTTCCAGTGAAAGAAGCATCAAATTACCCAGACTCTTCATACGTATATACAAATAAGTTGTATACAGGAGACACTGCCATCTTAATTGATGCTTAAAGTTGCATGTTTTAATACAAAAGAAGATGATTTCATCGTTCTTTTGTGGGTGCAGATTCCTAAATTTTGTTTTACCCTGGTGGGCGGAGTGCCTTACGGGAGGAGGATGGCTCGGGCATGGGTCAGTGTTCAAGAGGGTATGATGTGCCCCATTTCAGGAGGTTCATTTGCCCTTCCCAAAGGTGGGTGAGAATCACAATAATAACTCGCGTTTATACAGCGCCTTTAATTCTCGTGCAAATAAACATCTCAAAGGAGAGAAATAAATAATTTCTCAGTCATGTGTTTGGTGTATAGAGACTGAGATTTGCCCTGCAGTGGGACAGCAAAAGGGACACCGATGGTCATAGGAAATAACAAGTGCTCCACTGTAGCGATTAAAGCCCAAACAAACTATTCAACTGGGAAACGTTGGTTTGAGATTAAAGGCGCTTTGTTGATAAACAAGGACGTTCTATTTCAAATTTATCAATTATAATGTGCTCAACAATGTAACCCAGATCTTTATTTCAATAGAGATATCTTTGTGTTTCTCTTCTTGCAAGGATCATATGAGGATTTGTTATATAAAAAATATTGGCGAGCTAAGCTTTTGTCGGTCTTTAGCCCTTTCAGGATTCTGAGCAGCTGGGATTGTGGACTAAAAGCAGGGAGCCGTTTGTAAACCAAGGTGCACACTGGCACCTGGAAAAGATTTGGAACCAAAGATTCTCAATTGTATTGGGAAAATTCATGAAATCATGAATGACGATGGACAAATTAGAGCCAAATTAATAATAATTCCTTGCATTTGGTATAGCGCCTTATGTCGTTGACGGGTCTTAAAGCGCTTCACAGAATATACCGGCAAGTGAATGGACTGTACTCTGTGGGCGAAACGCGGCAGCCAATTGCGCACAGCAATGTCCCAGAAACAGCTATAATATGAATGACCAATTTTATTTAGGGGATTTATTGGTCAGGACACCGGAAGAAACTCTCTTTTAGAATAGTGCCATGTGATCTTTAACTTCCACCTGAACAGGCAGATGGGATTTTAAAGTCTCATCTGATGTTAAATAGTCATGGATTGAGTGATTTTTATTTTAGAGGTTGGATTATTACCACCGGAAAGCGATCCACCAATCGACTAACAACTGGGATCCTATTACTACTCAGTAGAAGGACAACTAGTTGGACCTTGTTTTTTATATATATACTGATAATTCCTATGTTCCTACTTTACAGTAAACCCTGAAGTACTTTGATTAAATGTAACGATTATTAAGATGCCTGTAACTTGTCTGACATTTCTTGTTCCCTTCCCTCCCCCCTTGTATTGGGCTGATCATTGCCTAATAGTTTTCCCAGTCCAGTCATAGCATTCCTTGATCCGAAGAGAACTGGATAATTATGGTTCCCATTGGTTATGTTGTTTTGGATGCAGTTCAGGCCCGTGAGTTCAAGCTAAGCT